AAAATAATTGACAATTTACAAATAAATCCATTAGAAAATATAATTTGAACTTGATTTTAAAAAATTTATACTTTTTGATTTTGTAATTCTATTATAGTATTTTTCACAAGTAAATAAATAAATAGTAAAAAATATGTAAATAATGTAACCAACAGTACACTCCATAATCTGTAAGTCTGTGGGCACTGGGAATTATATTTACACAATGAATATGACATAGCAGTAACAAAACATGTGCATAAAACAACATGTAAATAAACAACACTATGTGTGTCTCTTCAGGCACTCATTTCCAGCGCGTGATCCCAGATGATGGACCGGCAACTCAAAACCCCTCAGAGGTGAAGCGCATCGTCTTCTGTACAGTAAAGGTCTATTATGAGCTCGCGCGTGAACGCAAAGCACGCAACGTGGAGGACTCTGTGGCGATCACTCGCATTGAGCAGGTATCCCCGTCTTCAGTAGAACATCAACAATGCTTGCTTTCTCTCATTCTTGTGTGATGGTCTGATTCTCTCTCTCGCTCCTCCCCAGCTCTCTCCTTTCCCGTTTGACCTGGTGAAGGCTGAGACTGAGAAATATCCCAATGCTGACCTGGTCTGGTGTCAAGAGGAGCATAAGAACCAGGGATACTACGACTACGTCAAGCCCCGCATGCGCACCCCCATCGACCGTGCCAAGCCTGTGTGGTAAACTCTCGTCTTCTCGTATAGAGCCGTGACACTCCAGGTGCTCTATACCCCACTGTATATATATATATATATATATATATATACATAAACACATACATGTATCTACACATAGATGCATGCATACAATATTTATTAAAAATAATTGACAATTTACAAATAAATCCATTAGAAAATATAATTTGAACTTGATTTAAAAAAAATTATTGTAATTCTATTATAGTATTTTTCACAAGTAAATAAATAAATAGTAAAAAAGATGTAAATAATGTAACCAACAGTACACTCCATAATCTGTAAGTCTGTGGGCACTGGGAATTATATTTACACAATGAATATGACATAGCAGTAACAAAACATGTGCATAAAACAACATGTAAATAAACAACACTATGTGCGTCTCTTCAGGCACTCATTTCCAGCGCGTGATCCCAGATGATGGACCGGCAACTCAAAACCCCTCAGAGGTGAAGCGCATAGAAGTCAGAAGCACTTTCCAGGTTGATTTACGCAGCATTTTCTTTGAGTATATCTGATAGGTGGATAAAAGACATTAATCAAATTCAGTATACATTTATTTGGAAAAACAAGCACCATTATATAAGAAAATCAGATGCAGTGAAGCCGATCAGGGTTGAACGTAATTGATTTCGATGTTATGAATGGTACCCTTAAGTTGAGGTGGCTCCAAGACTTCCTTAGAAATAAACGTTCAGTTTGGTTCAGCTTTTCTTCTCAGAGTTTTGATTCTCTTGGGGGCATTGATTTCCTTTTAAGGTGTGATTTTGAGCCATCAAAATTAAAGTGTAAATTATCATCTTTTCATAGTCAGGTATTATTATATTGGAAATGAATATACAACCCCAACTTTTCACCACATAGTTGTTCTTTGTGGAATAATAAGTGTATCCTTATTAAGAGGAAATCTGTGTTTTTTCAGGACTGGATGGACAAAGGTGTCTGGTCCATTGTACACATTATGGCTGGGGATGGGAAATCTTGGTTATGATGATTTTTGTGAAAAATACAATATTATTTGTACTCAGGAATGACATGTTTCTTTGTTGAAAGCTGTTTTGGTTCAGCTGATTAAAGGTGCATTGTGTTATTCACCTGTGATACCAAGATTAGGTCAATCATCTCTGGTATTAATTGTATAGAGCAGAGCTGTAATAACAAGATAACAAGGTCATTAGTAAATACACAGGCTTTCCCTTCTAAAGTAAAGAAGAGACCCCTTGTGTATGATTTTCCTGAAGACCTGAAGATTCAAATTAGAACAAGATTAATATCTTTTCCACTTTTACCAAAGGTAAAAGAAGTTCAGTTTAAAATGATTAACGATATTTATCCCTGTAATGAGTTCCTCAGACACAGGTTTAATTTGGATTGTAATGGATGCACCTTTTGTGAAGCAGAAATAGAGTCATTGGAACATTTGTTTTATTTATGCAAATTCTCAAAAACATTATGGGATGACCTCTATGCTTGGTTAAGTTTGAAGTATGTAAT